GTAAAAAAAAAAAAAAAAAAAAACAGGGCCAAGGGATTTAGCTTACTGGTTCCGCTGCCTGCCTCAAAAGCACAAGGTCCTGAGTTCAATCCCCAGTACCAAAAAAAACAAGAAAATCAGACTTAAATGTGAACTGATAACTGTACTTTCCTAGTGGTCAGTGAATGAGTAAATTACCTAATCTCTAAGCTTCAGCTGCCTCAAGTGTAGTAAATAAGAGGGAGAAGGTTCACTGAGGAGTTGCGAGAACAGTATTTTAAAATACATAGTATGATGCTCAAGCCAGGTATGGTAGCTGAGGCAAGATCTAAATTCAAGCTCAGCCTCAGCAATTTAGCAAGTTCCTGCCTTTTTTTAAAAAACGAGTTATTTACAGGAAAATGAATACACTGTTGACATAAGTTTCTCTTACATGAGAAATCCAAAATAAAAATAAATTACAAACTAAAAGATACAGCCATGTGTGGTCCCTATAATCCCACTGTTCGAGAGGCTGAGGCAAGAGGATCAATGAAAGCTCAAGTCTAGCCTAGACTACACAGTGAGTTCAAGGTCAGCCTGGGCTAATCAGTGACTTTAAAGCCAGTCTGAACTACACAGAGAAACTTCCTCAAAAAAAACAAATAAACAAAAGAGATGGAGGGAAGGAAAGCAGAAGTGAGGCAGGAAAGGGAATGAATAATTTGGGTTTTGTTGTTGTTGTTGTTGTTGTTGTTTTGGTACCAGGATTCAAACTCGGGTCCTTGCACTTTCGAGGCAGGTGGTGGAACCACTAAGATAAATCCCTGGCCCTGGAAAAGGGAATGAAAAAGAATTGAGATGTGTTATATACATACACAAACTCCCACCACCGGGCGTGGTGGTGCACACCTGTGATCCCAGCACTTGGGAGGCTGAGGCAGGAGGATCACTGTGAGTTTGAGACCTGCCTGGGCTACATAGTGAGTTCCAGGTCAGTCTCAACTATACAGTGAGACCCTGTCTCAAAAAAACCAAAAACAAAAAAACAAAACAAACAAACAAAAGAAAACAAACTCCCCACAAGGAATGTAATCATTAGGTACTACAAATATGCACTAATAAATATAAAAACTAAAGAAAACAAATACATAAAAATAAAAAAGGGCCAGGGGTCAGGCATGGTGGCAAATGCCTGTAATCTCAGCACTTTTGGGAGTCTCAGGCAGAAGGATTGCTATCTCAAGTTTGAGGGCAACTTGGGCTACATAGTAAGTTAAAGGCCTGCTTGGAACACAGCAAGACACTGTCTCAGAAAAAATAAAAATCCATAGTGGAAAAAATATAATTCTTACTAAAAAGAGAACTGGCAATTAGTATGAATTATTAATTATATCACTAACCTGGTGACAAAGCTAATGTTCTGAGCTTTAAATACAATTAGTTCTCAGTAGCTGTGGGTTCTACAAACATGGATTCAACCAAGTGTGGATCAAAAACACTTTTAAAATCACATCTGTATTAAATATGCACAGATATTTTTTTTCTATTGGGGGTAGTGGAGTCTTTTGAGATAGGGTCTGATTACTCAACCTAGGATGGATAGCATCCAATTTGCTATGTAGCCCAGGTTGGCCTTGAACACAGGGTGATCTTCTTTTTTTTTTTTTTTCCTCCTTTGGTACCAGGGATTGAACTCAGGTCCTTGCGCTTGCAAAGCAGGCAGCAGAACCACTGAGCTATATCCCCAGCCCATAGGGTGATCTTCTTGCCTCAGTCTCCCAAATGCTGGAATAAACCAAAACAGTGTAACTCTTAACACTATATTAGATATTATAAGTAACCTAGACATGATTTTAAATATACAAAAAGGTATGTATGATCATCTGCAAAATCAATTCTTGTTTTTTTTCTTTGGTACAAGGGGTCAAACTTGGGACCTTGTGCTTGTGAGGCAGGTGGTGGAACCACTGAACTAAATCCCTAGCCCTACATCATTTCATAAAAGGGACCAGGCATGGCTGCCCACACCTATAATCCCAGCAATTGGGAGGCTGAGGCTGGCGAATCACTGTGAGTTTGAGGCCAGCCTGGACTATAGAGCAAGACTCTGTCTCAAAAAAGGGGGATGAGGTGGGAGTGGCTTAAGCATTCAGATTTTGGTATCTTATGTAAGGTGTCCTAGAACTAATCACTCATAGATACCAAGCGATGATTTAATGTGCTTAATTGTTAGTTAATTCCCGATCTTCTGGAATGGACAGCAACAAAGCCTTACATGCAGCTATGATATCCAGAGCTCTTTAATTTCTATACCATTCAGTTCTCCAAGGGAAAACAGCATGCATCTGTGTTTTTTTCAGTTTACAGTGACTGAAAGCATTTTTAGTCCATGTTAACTATAATAGCTTTAGTATTAAACAAAGTTTCAAAGGAGGCCAAGGATTTAGCTTAGTGGTAAAGGTCCCGAGTTCCATTCCTGACACAAAAAAAAAAGTTTCGAAGACTCCCTTTTAGTAGCATATACAAGGTTACTACTATGTTTGTTTGTTTTTGGCACCAGGGATCAAACTCAGGACCTTGTGCTTGCAAGGCAGGTGGCAGAACCAGAGCTAAATCCCCAGCCCCTAAAAGGTTACTACTAATCAATCTCTAGCACTGGGGGGGGGGAAGGAAAACTATACCCTTTACTGAAAATAATTTTTTTAAAAAAAAGTTTTATTGGGCCAGGGAGTTAGCTCAGTGGTGCCACCACTTGCCTTGCAAGGTCCCAAGTTCAATCTCCAGTAGCTAAATAAATTTTATCCCATCTCCCCACTTTTTCTTTTTTTGAGATAGGGTCTTGCTACATAGTTCAGGCTGGGCTTGAGTTTACAGTGATCTTCCTGTCTCAGCCTAAGTGCTGGGAATACAGGTATGTGCCACTACACATTGCGCCAAAAATAATTTCTTAACATCTGTACAGATATAACGTTCCTAATACCCAAAACCCTGACAACAAATAAAAGTATTAAACAGGCTGCTAAATGTTTTCCTTTTACCTGAACCTGCTGTGGCTGCTGAACCTGGATCTGCTGTTCTTGCTGGGTCTGTGGCTGAACACTGGTAGTGACTGGACAAGCAAGTTCAAGCAAAGACCCAGCCACTTCAGTGCTGTCTGTGTAAATGCAGTTCCCACCCTGTTGGTACACCATGGTAGTGGTGGCTGTCTGCTGGAATTCCTGAAGAGCTTCTGGACCCTTAGAGGCCAATGAGTCTAGAAATTCCTTCATCCTGTGTTGTGGGACAGACCGTGCCTTCACTCGGATGTATTCTTCAAAGGAAATGGTGTTCTCCAGAGAATTATTCATATTGCAGAGTCCTTAAGGTTCCTAAAAATAAAATAAATGGACAGAAGTCAAAATGCTATTGTTTTGTTTTTATTTTTGAGGCAGGGCCTCACATTTGCAGTGATCTTCCTTGCCTCAGACTCCCAAGTGCTAGGATTACAGACATGAGCCACTATGCCTAGCTACTAGGCTATTGTTTTTGTATCTTAAAATGCACAGAAGCAATCACCCTGACATCAAAATAAAACCAAATCAAAGTAGATGCCCATCAGGGCAGCTGAATATATCTAGAATCCAAAATAAAGTTTTTTAATATCGTCTTGCATTTTCACTTAATATATAAAGTAGTTCCATTAACATTTCTTAAATCAAACTATATCACACTAAAAAACAATGCGTCACATTACTGGATGAAACAGGCTAAAAACACAGTCTGTATCTGCCAGGAGGCCAATCCCACCTTTTCAGCAGCAACAAGCATTATTGCAAATAGTAAATGTCATATGCAAAACTGCTCTCTGATCATCTCAGAGAGGACTACCAAGCAAGTAGAAAGAAGCCAGAATCAGAGATTCCTACTGACATGTTTTGTTTCAGCCACCAAGGATGTCACACAGTGGAGAGACAGGTATGCCATATAGCTGTGGAAAGACCTGAGAAAGGGGACACGTTCTTCATCTCCCAAACAAAGCACCAGCTCTTATGAGAAACACTAAAAATCTCACTTTGCCCAAACAGTCAGTGCTCATCTTTCTTTGTGGTATAGCTTATTGATTAAGAGCATGGACTTGGAGCCAGACTACCTCGGCTGAGTCAACCTCAACTGTGTAACTAAGTCAGTCAGTGAACCTTTAGTTTTTGTGCCTATAAAACAAGGATAAGATAGTACTTACCTCAGAGTTGACATAAGGATTAAATTTATATAAAACACTTAGAAAAGTATCTGAGACAAATAGGCAGCACTATATAAGTAATGATTTACAGTTGCTTAAATAACTAAATCACTACACTTAAGTTCAGAAGGCAAAAAATTAAATAAAGTTCACAACTCACTTCTTCAGGTTTTTCATCTAATATTTATGTACTGAAATTGACCTACAAAGGTGAATATTCACCCAGAGGACAATCATACCATATGTGGATAATGAATGACCTACCAGTGCTATCTTTGCAACTTCCTCCCTTGACTAGTACCACCTCCAGGAGCAACAGCAAACCTTGTAAAGTTTCCTGCTAAAAAGATTATCAATTTCAAATATCCAGAAATATGAATTGCTTCCTTGAACCATCAGGTCAGAAATGCTAGTCTCTCTTTTACTGCCCAGATGCTCTGCCTTATGCCATAGATTTCAGGTCATTTCTTCCACTTGGCTCTAAACCCCTGGCAGACAAAACTGTGTCCTGGTCCTCTCTAGATCACACATTTGGAATTCAGTGTGGAACAGGAAGAAATGATTCCTTCTTCCTGTGAGATCTACAATTTATAACAATAAAATGTACAATGTAGTTGTATACACTAGGGAAAATGCATACAGGAATTTCCCCTAGGAAACTTAATACACACCCTGGGGAAAAATTACTCATCCAGCAAGAGTGAAACCAGAGAAAAAATATGGTCCTTAATGCAATTTAATGACACTGGCACTACTTCTGTGGGGTGCTGTGTAAATAGAGGAGACAAATTATATTTCAATGCTTCCAAATAATTGATTCAGTAATAAATCTTGTAACAATGCATATAATACATTGTGAATATATTTATCCATAAATAAAGAACACCACATCTGAAATTACAATTTCCTGGGCATCTTAGGAAAGCCTCCTATTTTTGGGGGGGACCCAAGATCAAATTCGGGACTTTGTGCTTGCAAGGCAGGCAATGGAACCACTGAGCTAAATCCCTGGCCCAGGAAGCCTACAATTTTAGAGCAAACAGTACAAGTCATAGGAGTCAGGGGAAAACCCTTGTTGATGTGCTGTCCTTTTTTTTTTTTTTTTCAGATAGGGTCTCACTATGTAGCTCAGGCTGCTCTGGAACTCCCTATGTAGCCCAGGCTGGTCTTGAACTTGCAGCAATACTCCTGCCTCAGCCCCCAGAGTGCTGGGATTACAGGCGTTACCACCATGTGATGTGCTGTCTTCAAACAACTAATTCTTGTTTGCCCCCTTTCCATCTTTTTAGACTATCTCCCTTACTGAACTTTCCCTTTCTCCCTGCTACTAGAAGCTTTCTCTCAGAGTAGAAAATTAGTCTTGAAGCCTGCTATGAGAACTAAAAGGAAAGTTTTCCATGATCTCCATAGCACATGGAAGACCATCAGGGCCAAGCACACTGTTCTTCTGTTAGATCCGGCACAGGCTACTCAAGTGTAGGTTATCGCCGTCCTCAAGGCTGGAATAAACACTCAGTAATAGGTATAGCTCAGTGGTGCCACCACCTGCCTCACAAGCACAAGGTCCCAAATTTGATCCCTGGTACCAAAAACAAAACAAAACAAAAAACTTCAATAATATTACAGAGTTCACAGTGTGCAGGACTCTAATCACATTCTGCTCAAAGGAGTTACGGGAGATATATGGGAAGCTATTAATATGGCTCCTCTACCATGCTGGTACGTAATTCAGGTTTTTTGCTTCCACTATAAAGAAAAAAAACGAAAAAACTGCAAGGCTAGCATCATGTTGCACTCCTGTAATCCCAGCTATTTAGAAGGCAGGAGAGCCAGGCGTGGTGACACATGCCTATAATGCCAGCACTCGGGAGGCTGAGGCAGGAAGATTACTGTGAGTTCGAGACCAGCCTGGGCTACATAGTGAGTTCCAGATCAGTTTTAACTACATAGTGAGACCCTGCCTCAAAAAACAAAACAAACAAAAAGGCAGGAGGAATGCAAATTGAAAGACCAGCCTGGGCAATGCAGTGAGACCCAACATCAAATTAAAAATGTTTAGGAAAACAAAAACATATAAGAAAATGAAAAAATGGAAATAAAGTGTTTGTAAATGGGGAGGAGAGGAGGGACAAGGGGAAAAAATGAGAACCAAGGCCTGTCATGTAAAGATCCCAATGATGAATGTAACTATATTGCATACATAAAATATTCCAATAAACCCAATGAGAGAAAAAAAATGTTTAGGGAATGTAGCACAGTGGTACAGCACTACTGGGTTGGATCCGTAGTACCATAAAAATACGTAAGTAATATAATCATTATGGTTTTCTTTTTGAGACAGGGTCTTGCTTTTTTAGTTCAGGATGGCCCTTAACTATGTAGCCCTGATTGGCCTCAAACTAGTTGTATGGGCTGGTCTCCAATTCACACCTTATGTACCATCATACTTGGCAAGCAACGAAATCATTATGTACTACAAACATGTAACTAATTAATTGAAAAACAGTAAGGCGGGCCAGGGATTTAGCTGAGTGGTGCCACCACCCGCCTGCAAGTGCAAGGTCCCAAATTCAATCCCCAGTACCAAAAAACCCCTGTAAAGCAAGTGGTGGCCCATGCCTATAATTCCAGCAGTTGGGAGGCTGAGGCAGGAGAATCACCATGAGTTTGAGGCCATTCTGGGCTGCACAATGAGTTCAAGGCCAGCCTGAACTACACAGCAAGACTCTATCTGAAAACAACAACAAAAAAAGGCAAGGCAGGGGATGTAGCTCAGTTGAATATCCAGCAATAAGAAAAAGGAAAACCAAGTTCAAATGGAATTTACATTTCCTAAAATTTATTTTATTCAGGGCCAGGGATTTAGTTCAGGGGTTTCACCACCTGCCTCGCAAGTGCAAGATACCAAGTTCGAACCCTGGTACCAAAAAAATTTTTTTTTACTTTCTTCAATAAGTCATTGCATTCCCATAAATATTGAGAGAATATATGAATTTTCCATTACCTAAGGTGGAATTCATAACCACTGTTAAATTTTTACAGTAGTAAGGTAATCATGCAACAGAAACACTTTTTATCTCAATCCGAGGGATAATCTATGTATCAATACAGTGAACCCTCCCAGTTACTACCAGCCTCACATGTGAACAACACGGGTTACAACTGAAATTTTACTTTTAGCTTATGACCAAAGTCTTGAGTTATGACCTGAATGCCACTCTTTCCTGTGTGGGGTTAACTGAGGAATCCTCAATTAACTGAGAAATATCTCTCTAAGGACCCTGTGATCTGTCTGGAAGAAAGTGTGCCCTAAAATTATACAGGAGACTCTGAAGGCCGTGTAGAGGAGCCTGAACCTTCAACTGACCCTGTGGGTGATGACAGTGTCACTACAGCGGAGTCCATAGGCTTGCAGGTAGACAGTGGTGATGCTGAGGAACTGGTGGAGGAACACTCAGAGGAACTGTCTACAGAGGAACTTCAGCAACTTCTGGCTCAGCAAGAGAATGGCAGCTGGGCTGGGGATTTAGCTCAGCGGTGCCACACACGCCTTGCAAGCAAAGAGTCTTGAGTTCGATTCCCAGTACCACCAAAAACAAAAGCGGAAATGGCAGATGAGGAGCTTTCTGAAGAGGAGGGGGAGTGTCAACAATCACTGCAGTAAAGTTCCTCTTCTAAAATAAAGGAAACCCTGAACAAATGGACAGAGCTACAAACATTTGTAGAGACGACCCACCCAGAGAAAGAAAAAGCCCATCTCTGCATTCACTTTTTTAATGCACTGTCACATCATGCTACAGAACAGAGTTAAAGAAAAAACAGAAACAGACAACCTTAGACCAGCTTTTAGTTCTGAAAAGGTTGAGACCTTAGTGAGCCAGAAAAAGGTCCTAGTGGGCTACTCACTCTCCCAAGAAAAGGACACAAGAGAGCCAGACTCCAGGTGTTCTTAAGGAAGGGGACTCTCTTTCCAAACAACTACCTTCTAATTCATTTTCCCTCCCAGCAAGTCAAAGATATTAATAAGTAACTCTGAATGTTGGACACAGTATGAAATTGTTGTTTCTGGTAAACTAGGCACATTTTATAACTTTTTGGTGAATACCCTAGCAAAAGTATTGGTGTTTCTGGTAAACTGTGCACATTATACAATTTTTTTATTATGAAAAGGTTAGTTAAGGGGTGCTTTGGGAGACTTGGAACACACTGAGTATTTCCATTACTTCTTATGGGAAAAAAATCTTGACTTACAACCAACTTTAGTTACAACCAGCCCTCCCAAACCAATTTAGTTCACAAATCAAGGGTCCACTGTACAAAGAAATACTGCTAAATTGGGCTGGACATTTAGCTCAGTAGTTCCACCGCCTGTCTTGAAAGAGCAAGGTCCAGAGTTCGATCCCCACACCAAAAAAACTGCTATGTTTATTTTTTTGTTTTGTTTTTCTGAACACTGATAAGTTAAGAGAGCTGGAAAACCTAAATCTCTACTAAACTCTCAGTAACCTTATTTCCCCTCTTTCATATTCAGAAATTCAGATAAGGCAGATTAACCATCATCCTATACTAAGTATGAAAAAGTTTACCAACTTTTCTTCCTAGAAATAATATTTCTTTGGTATTTAGGTTAGCATTCTACCTATTTTTTCTATTGGGTTTTTTTGTTTTGATTTTTTTTTTCTTTTTTTTTGAGACATAGGGTCTCTCAGGCTGGCCTTGAACTTGTAATCCTCCTGCCTCAGCCTCCAAAGTGCTGAGATTACAGGCATGTGCCACCACACCTGGTCATTTATGAAAAGTAAAAACAGCTAAGTACACTTTGACCTCTGTTTTTGTTTTATTTGTTACAGTACCAAGGATTGAACTCAAGAGACCACAAAACTACATCCTCACAGGCTTTTTATTTTGAGACAGGGGCTCATCAAGTGGCCAGGGTAGGCCTCAAACTTGGATCCTCCTCCTTCAGCCTCCTTCAGACAAGTACAGTAACTGGGATTATAGGCGCGTACCACCATGCCTGGCTGACCTCTGTTCTTAAGTCTACCAATTTTAAGTATTTACCACCTGTCCAGCAGAGCTTAGGGCATTTAAGTCACCCTCCTCCCACCCTCTCATCACCCTCTGCCAGTCACTTTATTTTTCATATTTGCTATGATCACTTTCACACCTGTCAACCTCTATTTGTAGACTTATTAATTTCAGCATATCCCTGGATTTCCTACTATATAAAATAAAGTTCCGCACTATTTCTTTTCAATGTGATGCTAGGGATAAAAACCAGGGTTTTGCATGTGATAAGCACACATTTTACCAGTGATCTACCCTCACTTCTTCTTTGCCCTCTTTTTTTGACAAGCACTTCACTGAGTGTAGTTCTGTTTAAAAAGTTTTATTTTAAGAATACAATATTTGGGGCCAGGGGATTTAGCTCAGTGGTTCTGCCACCTGCCTCACAAGCTAAGGACGTGAGTTCAATCCCTGGTACCAAAAAAAAAAAAAAAAAAAAAAGAATACAACATTTGTTTGTTTTGGTACTGGGGATGGAACGAGGGACCTTGAGTTTGCGAGGCAGGCAGTGGAACCACTGAGCTAAATCCGTGGCCCCAAGAACATAACATTTCATATCAAATCAAAATCCAGGGTTTTTGCTTTTTTTTTGGGGGGGGGGCAAGCTTCCAAAGTAGACAGAAAATATTCTACTGCCCAAGTCATCTCCAAACAAATGCTATCTATAAGTATTTCCAGAATAGTAACTTCAAAGAAAGTTACTACATGGAACTCTAGTCCAAATCAGAAGAGAGTGAAAGCTTCAAAAAGTATCTGCTATGAAGCATCAAAATTCATTATTTTTGTCGGGTGTAGTGCCACACACCTGTAATCCCAGCACTTGGGAGGCTGAGGCAGGAAGATTGCTGTGAGTTCCAGACAAACCCGGGCTACATAGTGAGTTCCAGTTCAGTCTCAACTACATAGCAAGACCCTGTCTCAAAAAAAAAAAAAAAAAAAAAAAAAAAAAAAAAAAAAACATTCTTTTTTCAGTGCTGGGATTAAACCCAAGCCCTCTGCACTCAGCTACATTCCAAGTGTCCCACCACCACCACCTTTGATAGTGATAGGATCTCACTAAACTGGTAAATTACCTGGGCTGGGCTGGAATCTGTGATTATTTGCTCCAGCCTCTGAAAATGCTGAAATTACAGGCCAGTCCCACCTCACCGGCCAAAATTTACTCTTTAGAGCTAGGGATGTAGCTCGGTGGCAAAGCATTTGCCTAGCATAAGCAAAGCCGTGAGTTTGATCCCCCGTAACACAAAAACAAAACTTAATTATTTAAACTTCTATCAAAAGAGAGAAACCCAGGCCAGGGATTTAGTTCAGCGGCGCTGTGCCTGCCTTGCGAGTGCAAGGTCTTGAGTTTGATTCCCAGTCCAAAAAAAGAAAAAAAACTAAAAACAGTAAAAGAGAGAAAACCAACCTAGCATGGTGGCACACCTGTAGTCCCAGCTACTGCGGAAGATGAGGCAAAAGGATCACAAATTCATGAGCTGAAGATGTAGCTCAGTGGCATAATGCCCCAGGTTCAACCCCCAGTGTGACTAAATAAGTAAAATAAAAACAGCTAAGATGTGCCTCGGTGGTGGAGCACCTGCCTAGCATGCACAAGATCCTCAGTTCAATTCTTGGCAGTATCAAAAGGGGAGGGGGATGCTAACATATTTAATGACA